GCGACCACCCTCCGCGACGGTTCACGACAAAGTGAGGAAGCAAGCACAGACCTGCACGGGCTGGTACGACCTTGGTACACGGCGTACACGGCTAAGTCAATAAACTGGGTGACGCAACTCACTAGCGCGTTGGATCGACGGAGAGCACCGATACTCGGCACGCTCTACCGTACTCTCTCGCTCGCACACCTCCCCCCATAGACCCCTAAAATTCCTTCAACACCGACGGAGAGCACCGATACCGCGGCTCGCTCTATTGCTCTCGCTCGCACGCCGCGACGTCACCCGATTCCCGGAATCCCGCGGCCACGAGATGGCTCATTACGGTAAGACATTCCTGCAAGGGAAATTGTCGGAAACGATTCAAGATTAGAAACTAAAATTTTACACAATTTAGTTTCTTGTGGTTATCATCAAATATAAAAATTCTTTGCTGATACTTTACATGTTAGAAACATTTATTAAAATTATTGACAAACATAATGAATAGTGCTTCATCTCTTAATCGACTCAGTTATAGAAGTGCTAGAATAATAATTGCTGATGCATCTTCTATGGATCAATTTCGTTATTGCGTAAAACCATCTAATTTATTATAAAAAATATATAATATACAAATCGAAACGAAAATGTAGTTACGTATCGAGAAGTCTATAAATACAGAATGAGAGCAGTAACAATTAAAGCACTTGCAATCTGTTGGCGTTACAATGTTAATAAAATATATATTTATAAATGGTAGGAGGTTTATGCGTTTCGAATCTTCGACTTTTCCCGTGAAGCATAATTTCAAGCTTAATATATATCACACATCGATACATCATCAGCATCAAAATGCAATTGTTGTGAAACACAATAACAATCAGGGAATATCTGATGTCCAGATCGATCTTCAACGTTACCTTCTTTATTGTTCGATATTGGACAGAGTGCATTGTCATTGAAACATATCTCGCGTTAATTTCTGCAACATTACTGCGTGTAAGCTTTCCCCAGACAATTTCGTAAATTCACGTGGCTATATTTGTAATCGCAGTACATGTAGAATATAATTTATTTTTCAAAACGGATTCTGTCCCTGGGAAGGAGGATGGTTTCCGCCATAACGTGGCAGAGTTGCGTACCCGCCATAAGGTGCTGGTGGCATACCTTGATACGGGTTGTAGTTTCCTGAAACTAAGAGGAACATAACTAACAGATTTCAATGATGATTCAGATTTCATCTATGCGGACTTATAGTTCATTAAGAGTTAAATTACCTTGCGTAGGATAAGGCATCGTTGCATATGGATTATACGCTGCAGGCATTGGAGGAGGCATATACGTAGGATACGGTGTGCTGGGTCCAGCACCGTATGGCACAGGCATGCCTCCTTGAAAATTTGTAGGATACGGCAACTGAGACGATTCACTTTGTTCTGATCCAGGCTGATTTTGTCCAGATATTCCTATGTATGTACATACAAATATATTTATTTTTTAAATTGAGTATATAAAAACGTCGATCATTCTATTACAGGAAGCAATTTATACCACCGTGATGAACCGGAATGGTAGGGGTTGTGACTGGACCGCTATGACTCAGATTTGTCGTCAAATCTTTCAACAGTTCCTCTTTCTCGGTTTTTCGGGCGAAACAGAAATCCGATATTTTATTTTGGAAGACCACCAATAGCTATCAGAGAAAATTACTTTTTAATGATAGTAACTGTGTCAAGTAGTTAATAAATGAATGATTAAACGAACGTCACTATACCTGTGTTAAATCATTGTAAAATTTAGCACCTTCGTTCAAGTTGCTTTTTAATTCCTTAAGTGCATCATGAGCAGCTGCCAGTTTGCAAAGCATTGCTTCTCTTGAACTACCACTGCCAGATTGTTCGTTTGTAAACTCTGCGTGACACCTCTGAAATTATTTTTGAAATTAGCACCGTAAGAAATATTTTAATCGGTTACTGTAAGAAAAATTCATATGTACTTGAATTTCAGCAATCAATCGCTCCTGCCGCGCAACACTGTCCCTCACTTGCTTTTGCAGAGGTCCATACGTTTGTCCTATACTTTCTACAGATAAGTTTGGCTCATCGATAGCACCGTCTTTAGCGAGTGCCGACAGGAATGTTGCTTTCATGTCTGCGGTTGCGGACTTCAGTTCACTTTCTATAACGTCACGTTCTGTTTTTAATGTTTCCACCTTAAAAGGACAATGAAGATTTTACTAACGCAAGCAAGATGCAAATTCAAGAAAAATCGATATAGAGTGCTTACATCTTCCATTAGTTTTCGAAGTTGTGTCACGGTATGGCTTTCTTGAACAGCTGAACCAGTTGGCACAGCGTTGATCAAATCACCGACGTCTAAACTCAAAATTTCCATGCCTTCCTTATGGGTCTCGTAGTTTTTACGTACAATCTGTTAAATCATGTAACACAGATTCTAACATGTGCTCGGATTTCTAAGGAAATTCGTTATCACATTTATTTACCTTATCAGCCGTAACAGCATTATTGATAATTTCACGGTACTTTCGTAAAGTGACGGTAAACTGTTCTGTCAAACGGCTACTAGGTATTCTGGTCCAGCGTTCCTTGAATTGTTCTCTCAACTGATCGTCGGATTGGCGTTCTTCTTGAAGCATTCTTTCAGACTAAAAGAAATATAAGTGAAAACAATTGAACAGAAAAAAATAAAACAAGTTAATCTGAAAAACCGTTACTATCTACAATTTTATTTACCTCGTCCAAAAGCTCTTTGTTTCTTTGCAGAAGGTCCGGCAATTCTTTCATAGCATGTTCTAAAGCTCTAATCCCACCTGTCTCTTTCACGTACTGAGCTTTGTCCAACAAAGACTGAGGTAATTCAGTACCACTTGTATCCTCGATAGCAGCTGGTAAGTTCAAACTCGCCAGAACGCTAAGACAATATTATATTTTATTTTATTCATTACCATGTGAACATTAAGTAATCATTATATGTGTTTGAATAGCAACTGTACCTACCTATTCAATACTTGTGTCATCTCGCGTAGTTTCGAAATTTCTGCATTAACTAACTCATTACGACGAACATCATAAGACGACAACGCTTGGTGAATGCTGACAGGCAACAGATCGGCGAAGAGATCTAACATACGAGGCAAGATTGGGTGTAAAAAATTATGCGAATAAATGCATCAGTCAATCATTACATATGTAACAAACCTTTGAAATTCGTGCAAAAAGTTTCAGGTAATGGCAACAACTTTGCAACATTCGCTTTGCCCACAGGTTCCAAAGATTTCACGTCTGGTATCCTCTCATGATAAATGAAGTCGTTATCTTTCTTCGCTTCTGTAAGATTCCTTTGAGCTCTATTGGCATATTCTTGAAACAAGTTAGGCTTATTAGAACGCTGTTGTGCTGCTCTGAATAATTCTACGGCGTGCTGAGAATAAACATTTTAGTTGACATTTAAAAAAGCATAACGTCAATTATATTCAATTTATCATAAACGAGATTTACCTCCAATCTAGCAATTTCTTCTCCAATTACTTTGTTACTTTTACAAACTAATGATTGGTAAAATCCGGACATTGCACGGTATCCAGCTTGTTTTCCTGCTATCTGCATTAACATGTTAAACACAATTGTTTAATTAGAATAATACATAAATACCGAATACGAATAAAATACAATACACATACCAAAGGAACCCACTCTTTATCCCAAAATGCTCTGAAAATCTCTTTCTGGAACAACTTCAGTGCATCTGCATACAGTTCCTCTGCTTGAGCAGCTAATTTAGCTACAATTCCATCTTTCATGGCGTCGTGAATTGCTTTATGTACAAATATTTCCTGAGCTTGAGCAAGCATCAATGAAGACAATGCACCTAATGTTTCTGGACTGATGTCAGGTGTTGGTTCTTGGTGAATGGCCATCATAACATTTCCTTTAAGGTAATTAAAGATACCAGCAGATTGCTGAAATTTATACCAAAGTTTAATGTTAAAAATAGCTGCTATTTCTTATGTTATATTATTATAATTATTTTGATTCAATCTGTAACCTGAAACAACTTTGCAGCCAATTTCAGTCCTTCATCACTGTCCAAGGATTGTGTTGCTGCCACAGAACTTTGCAAAGCAGCAATATTGAATAGTACACATACTTTCTCATATGCTAATGTACTAATAGCTGCAAATACCAAATAATATTATGAAGTAGGTACGTAAAATAATTTTTTTTTTTAGTAATATACATACTATGTACATTTATTATTTCACTAAATGACTATCAATTTCCCAAACATGTAAACAACTTGATTCACAAAATTTGAAAGACTAACTATCTAATAATACCTTTTTTTTCCTGTTTCTATTGGCTATTATGTACATTATCAAAAGTACAACTAAAACACTCATTATAATCAACAACCACTTTATCTTATCTGTTCTTTACCTATTTATTAGTAAGTCAAAGATCAAATGAGATTAATCTGTATTATCTTCTACAGGTCATTTAGATTGAGAACAGCAATACATATTTTATAAATCTTACTTAAACTAAGCTTTCCACCAAATATGGTACGATCAAATGCATCTTTCCATTTGAATGGAATCTGCAATTCATGAGCAGGAATCTTGCCCTCCAATGCACACAGCTGATCATAGTAACTAGAAAAGGGAACAGTGTGGTCTTATTAAAAATACTCGGTGCATAATCCACTATATTATATGAATTATACAGACTATTAATATCGCTCTTATATGTCATAACTTATTTCTGATTGTATCATTCCTATTAAAACCACGTCAGAATTCAGAAAACGTTTTTTCTGGAGAAGACACCGATCGCTTCTAAAACTTTCCGACTTTTCGTGACGACTAGTGGCTAACGTGAAATTAACGACACCGAATATACGGGAGTGCATATTACTTGATAAATTATCGTAATTACAATCGAAATAATACTTAATTAAAGATGACTCATACCTGTATATAACCTCCAATGAGCTTTCATACTTCTCGAAAGCTCGCCACAAGGCATTGTTTCTTAATTTACTAAAATCTGTAATTGCCTCCGTATAATCCTTCTGATTACTCGCGCCACTGTACGTTGATTTAATGACATTCGTTAATGGTTTAATGACATCTACGTCGGATGGTTTCTTCAACGGTACCGCGATTAGCTCAGCCATTTTGACATATGTATGCCTGACATCGGAATAAGTTGGAATTGGTTGGAATAAGTAAGTAAGGCAAGAGGCTTGTCCGGCGGTAAATTACACACGTTACACACATTCACACACATTCATACATTCTACCTACCAGAAACGAGATACAAAACAGACGTAACATCCAATATAAATTTCAATCGTATGCCCCGGGGGTTATATGACCCTTCTTACCAAGCTACTACCACGTCGATACTCACTCCATTCGATACGAGTACTTTTGTTGGATACCTACTTGATATCGTAACCGTAGGTATCGATACCAAAAGTATTCGGTATCGAAACAAAAGTATCGAGTAATGTACTTGTATTTACTCGTATCGATTCATCCTTACATGAGTGTCATGCGTGTCATGCGTGTCATGCATGTCATGATGGGAAAACAATAATGGCGTATTCGGTCAACATCTCTGTAGAGGCACCGATCGAGAATCAAATCCAGGAAATCACTTACGATGGTCAGGAAATTTATCAAGCGTACGTAAATTCTTTCACTACTGTTTCTACACATGAAACAATAATTTGATCATCAAACGAATCAAATATAAACGAGCTTATTGTATTCGTTTTTACTTAACCTTAGTGTCAATAAAACATATTTACCTTTGTCAATGTAACATATCAGAAACAGTTAAATATAATAAGTCTTTTCGTGTTTTAGGCCCCTTACGTTATCAGAGAATTTGGCAAAAATCGCGCAAAAAATCGATTTTAGTAAAACCAACGGCGAAGATGTTAAAAAGGAGTCCGAAAGTGGAGATAAGGGAGAGGAAGACACAAAAGATGCAGCTTCTTTTCAGTCTTCCTTATGGCCGTGGGACAGTGTCAGAAACAAATTGAGGTTTCAGATAATATTCTGTTTTTTATGATGTTTATCAGTGAACATAATACTTCACTACCTATCCAGAACTGATAAAAGTTGGACTTAGATGTTTAGATATTTCAAGCACAACCACAGTGTCTTTAAATTCCAACTGTTCCTTGTTTCTTTGAACATTTCCAAATGTCTGTTAGATGATTGTACATTAAAATTGGTAGCAAAGACAAGAGAAGCTTAAGGGAGAAGTTTGAACATTTAGACTACTGATCTTAGCTTTAGCATTTTCTGTGGAGTAATAGCAAAATGGGAAAACATTGTGTTCACCAATGTCATTTTGTAAGGCTGGAGATCCTACAAGTTCACTTTCATTTCCAGAAATGCATTAACAGAAGTATGTGTGCTAGCAGATGTTCTTGCAATAGCGAAAGAGAAGCATTATATGGTTCTAGATCCAGTGCCACAAGAACAGGCTGAAGTGAAACCCATGATTCAGGTATATGCTAGAAAGAAAGCATTGGCTGGAGCTGCTTCAGTGATCATGATGGGTGCAGATAGATTAAAGAACTGTCAGAATGAGTTAGCTAGAAACAGATCAACACCAGACTTCCATATTGAATTGTTGAGATTACGACAAAACTGGCGTTTGAAAAAAGTTTCTAACTCAATTATTGGAGACCTTAGTTATAGAACAGGTTTTACAATTGTATTTTCTTTATTTTCCAATAATAGTTAGAAATCTAGAATTTCATATTTATAAAATATGAATCTTTCAGCTGGTTCCAAGTTTCCTCAAACAGGTATGTTCGAAGTAACAAAGGCAGAAGAGGAAGAAAAGAGTAATAGTCCACCTGCCTCTCCCAGTGCTGGTAACAATGTGTCGGGTCCAACTCATCATCCTTCTAATCCAAAAGCGTCGGCATTACGTGTTACTATACCTAGTGAATTACAAGGTGTTGCCTATATAGAAGTACTGTGCCAAAAAGGTAAACATGTATTCACCATATCATTCATAAGATTAGAATTAACCGCCTAACATAATTTAATTTCTCAGACCAAGAGGATCTCTGCAGTGCAAATATTAGTTTACTTAACAACAGTGCACACAGTTCGAATGCAGACATGCATTGGCAGCAGAAGTTAGAAGCCGCTCAAAATGTTCTCTTTTGCAAAGAATTGTTCAGTCAACTGGCAAGGGAGGCGGTACATTTGCGTGCACCTATACCTCATATGGTTGTTGGAAATCAAATAATGGCAACGGTAATTAATTATAATAATTTTATTAAAAGAATAATATTAAGAATAAATTTTAATTTCAGGTACTTCCTGGAATTCAATTAATAATAGGACTCTGTCATAGTACAGGGAACGATAAAAAGCCCACTGCTCCTCCTCCCCACAAAAGTGATCATGATCATGTACTTGAACATTCCTTACATCAGTTGCTTCGTGAAGTGCATCACAAGAATACTCATCATCCGTTTCCCCATCCTTCTTCGGGACCGCTTGGGCCTAGCAAACGAAGATGCTTAGCGGGTCCAACGGCAGCTGATAGATACGAACTCTTAGAAATGACGAAAAGTCAAACTTTGTTAGAACAAATAATCCAACAAGCGCAACACTTCTTCATGCGACTGCGAACAGAGTACGTTTTAGATACAATAGCGAAAGAAGTTAAAGATCCTTTAATCGTTTCTCATTGGAACGCGTTGAATTCCCCTACGCAGTCCTGTGTTAAAATTAACATTTTAACGCACGGGTACGATAGCGTGTGTAGAACGTCACTTGTTGTTCACGTTGGGGAGAAATCGTTAAAATGCGTCTGCAGAGACGGTAGAGTGATGCATATGAGCTACGAACCTCAAGAACTAAGGGACCTAATCTTCTGTCAGGTAACTATAATCTCTTATTGTTTTAACACTCGTTCGTACATTTATTAAAGATTAATGCATTCTTACAGATTTATCAGCACCAAATAACAGCAGTACAAGCGTTAGCGAAATGTATGGGTTGGCAATTTTTAGCCAATAGTTCACATCTTGGTTTAGGGGCGGTTGAACCTTTAGGAAATGCTAGCAGTTGTATTTTAGCATCACCAATAGGCGACAGGTATTTATACAAATTACAACGAGGTATAAGTTACTTATTTTGAGGCAGTAATCTCGTTAACATTTACTACCCGTTGCGCCTTCTACGATTAAAAACGGTGTCGTCGGGAACTAATATAATCGTGCTCGCATATTATTCCTACTGCTTCGGATAAAGTCGAAACGTAACTTTTCTATGTTTACTATACTTCGTGTGACTAACAGTAAGAAGGTTTCAGAGTTTTTAATCGTGCGACAAAAATATATTGCTTCGATCTATCTTTTACTATGTTGTGTTTACATACCTTTTACTTTCTGAACGTTTTTAGGATGATTGCTGTCAGATGTGAACCACAAACTGGAGTACAAGTAGCAATAGCTCATTCCCCTAGGAAAGACTTTTTCCCTGGTCAATTAGTGAGAGAAAGAAAATGGGAGAATCTAGGCGGCTCCTTCAAAGAGGTCCGGTGGGATAAAATGGAAGGAAAGAACTTCTTAAATAAAATGGAACTTCTGATGGCTTCCTTGACAAGCTCATAGATTTCACCGTCGACTGATTAGGAATCCAATTGTTCCACAGGGTGAAAATTCACAATTGTACTTCTTTTAGATTTTTATCTTTAATCTAATATGCAAAATACATTTCTTAATTGTACTAATTGATCAACGGATGACGACTTTGAGTAAAATCTGTCCTGTCTGTGATTAATATTATTTTCCATTTTTATGTACCTTCATCAGCTCAAGTACTTTTTCTCAAACTTCTGTTTTATTTTTCTTTCTTTTTAATAAAATAATATTTAAAATACCTTTGTATCCTGAGAATTACTTTACAATACGATTGAACTGCTTCTTGTCCCAATCACACAATTTCATCCTGTGGTATTTATTTCGTGGAGTAAGGATCGTAACTAAATGTACCAATAGTTGTAAAAAAAATGGTTTTTATTTAAATGACATACGAAATGTAATACGAATTGAGTTATAAACCATTGTGAAATGGTAAGTGAAACAGAATGCCAAATATACAGATGTGTAGTAAACACCTAAATTACAATTGTTAAAGTTTTTCTTTTTTTTCATATATACAAAAACTAATGAAAAATTCCTTACGTATTATCATCAAGTGTGTATACTCTTGTTCACTTTGAACTGTAAGGCGCAAATTGATACACAGTTTCACCCTCTCTTGCTTGACACAACCCATACAATGAATATGTGCACACTTCATTCTAACATGTGTACATTCACACTTAATATAAATTTCTTTTATGCTTTTTCTTTTCATTAGGATGTAAGATATTGCACACTGCAATACGACTACACTCTTGAAACATTATCTTAACTCGGTAACGCAACTGTTTCGATGGATCAACAGGGACGGACTAGCAGTTTAACCAAAGCATTTCTTGCTAGAACGTATTATGGACTCAATGGAGCAAATATTTCTTTGAACTCAGATCAAACCACACACTGTCATAGACGTGAAAACATTTACGTATTGAGTAATAAATAATACTGATACATTTAACAGATTTTTTTCATAGATTTCGATCAACTGTAGAGGTTCCTTGTATCTCAATAACCTTTTGGATTTATACAGACACATTTTTGGTAATTAGTAACATTGAAGCTCGTTTAGTAATATCAAAGAATAAGATATAGTTTGTTGAGTCAGTGTTACGTGATCTCACTTATATTTTGTCTTGAAGTAATAGCAACTTTTACAAGTTAATACCTAAGGAAAAAGAGAAGTTGTCATTCCACGATGTCCAGTTTTGTCAAACACAACTACCTATTTTCTGACTCTGTCAGTGCATTCCCACTTTCATTTTCTTGTAAAACAACGAGCTATACTTTTAGCCCTACCACCAGCCACTTTAAATGTTGCTGTTATTGTCATCATCAGAACCCCATAAGCAAATAAAAGGCTAGCTACGTAAACTTGATACACATTGAATAAGGTTATACACGAGACGGACAAGTGTGAGCCAACGACCCAGATAACTGCTGCCCAATTCTTCCTATCCAGAGCAGAGAAATATAGCACACCCCAGAATGTGTGCAGTAGAATAAAGCAGAGGGTGGTGGCAGCTGATATTATAAAAAAGTATTCTGTGCCTTGTTTAAGTCCCATTGTTCCAGGTCCAATTGCATCCGCCAAAACATTGACTAGAGCAAAGGCACCGCTCATGAAACCAAAGCCTAAACCACACACATATGCAAATACAAGTCTGCTGTCTGCTACATGTGTTGTAGTTACTTTCTCTAAGCCCCTTTCAGCTTTCCTCATTACCCAGTATAAAAGATATCTAATTGGAAAAAACAAAACAATGAAAAGTATATAATTAAAAAAGGAAACACATTTTTGTTTCTACAGGAAGGAGCAAAGTTAAACCAATGCAAACTGATTATAAAAGAGCAAAAGAAGGATTTTTGCAATAGCAATTTCGGAGAAACTAACTCACGTGCTTTTTGTATTTTTCACGCAGATGGCTGATTGGCTGTTGTTTATCAATTTAATTAAGCTAGTAATATGCATGTGACCCATGTATCTCTAATATTAAGCAGGAATTTAAATTTCATTGACTGGCAAAATTGATGAAATTGAATACAGATAAATTATGCTCCGTACTATAGAAGATTGAAAATGTTAGACAATGATTTCTATTTCAGTCACCTGAATGCTTCTTGGAACAAAACTGAAAAAACCAGTCCAAATGCCAGGTGTTCCTGGAGTGGCACCACAATATACCAGAGCACTGACGACAGCAATAACGAAGTAAGCCAAAAAAAGGCACTCGCTATTAGTATAATAATTCGAATAGGTTCGGCGGCGATAGTGAATATGAACATGGACATCGGCGGGCCGAAAGCCAGGAGAGCACAACCGAAAAATTCCATAAGCGTCATTTTCACTGTGGTTGATGCCACAAACTCACTTTGCCTTATTTATTATTACACCGTAACTATTTACTCTTCAGAGAGATTCTAAATCTTCATAACCCTACAAAGCCTTCACGCGGCTTGCACGGTACCTATTTCTTAATGAGCACATCTATGTTCCTCACTGATTCAAAAAATACCAAAAGGGCATTAATGCAATCAACGCTCCAGTGACTCACGACAATGATCAACAATGATGAAATCACTTGGTCTTCTCCGCAGTTTTCCAAAAAAAAAATGCAAACTTCTCGATAGAAGCTCTCGATATATCGATAGTTCTGATCATTAGACTCGTCATCGTCATCGTGATACAAATTGTTCAGGTGGATACACATCAAACATTTTGATAGAATTCTTTGAATGGAAACTAACCCAGATCCTAATTTATACGTCATAAAATCTGCATCGTTATTTAGCTACTGCATTTAAAAAGTATCTATTCATTTTACATACTTTCAACGTAGATAACCAATTATCCCCAAAAAGAATAAAGTTATGTACGTATAAGAAAGTGCATGCTGAGTGCAAAGTAATAAACGGAGATATTGGACACCCTGTGTACTATACTACAATAATCCTTCAAGTCTAAAATGTGGAACTGAAGCAAAAAAAATGGTATCATTCACAAAGTACGATTAAAGAATTTCAGATTAAAGTATTTATTTCCTTGAAGACCATTCTCTATGGTCTATTTTATAATTATATTTTTTTCATGAAAGTAGGGTCTCTAAAATGCGCCCTACGCTATACAGATTCCAGAATAATCAAAGAATCTATTTATATCTCATAAAACGAGTTACTTTGGGTCTCGTTTTACTCATATGCTCCGTGAAAGAAAAATACAGAAAAATATCTATTTATTACGAAGTATCCTTTGTCAGATCACATTTCGTATGACCTGGGTTTTTGAAACGCGAGTTACGCTACCGTCGACATCGATTATAGCGTGTATAGTGCTGGGGAATTGTGCACTCTCGCGCATTTTCTTTTCAGTGGCGTGTGTGCCGTATGCGTGTGTGCATTCGTTAAACCGTTCTGGTCAGAAGTTGATCGCGCGGCTCGTCCGATTGCACAAATTTCTGAAGCTCCGGGGGTTTATTTTTAGTACAAAGTGCCATGTCGTTTTGGTACGATACTCGTGGATTTTTGCTGCGTAACAGCACTTTACACGGCCTCTGATTTGGTGAATATACAGACACTGTTTTCCCGTTGATTGACAGACTCGCTTGTTCTCCACCATTCTCACCGTCGTTGTCTGCTGGGATAATTTACGTTAATCCGTGATCGATGCGATCCGCAAATTGATATCATACCACGACTGTAACAAACCAGCCAGAACTATGAAGAAGTCACGTCCAAATATTTTTCGTGACATTTACTATCAACCATATAATGATTGCACCAGGATGAACCTTTACACTAGCAGCAAAGGTATTTCGTCGCTATATGCTGTTTTCAAGCGAAAATTCGATAACGTCGTTGTGTGGAGTAATGATACAAGATAAAAATTTTTTACCCCACAAAACGACGACGTAGTTGGACGTCGATGAAACGTTCCAGAGTTAAATGACGCGCCACTAACGTAAAAGAAGTAACTACACGCTTCTTTAGGATTCTAGTCAAATCCGAATATAAATGTTCATAAATTTTTACTGGTGCACATATTTTTGTGACAAGCATAACTTTTTTAATTTTACTCCATCTGTTTCAGCGAGTCTTCAAATGATGCAACGAATGGCTTTGTTAAAGAGTTTAAGGGTACACAGAGGTTGTGTAAATTCTGTGTGTTGGAATGCCACTGGTGATTTGATATTATCTGGTAGTGATGATCAGCGTTTGGTACTTACAAATCCTTATTCATACGAGGTAAATCATAAAGACAATGTTTTATATGTTTAATTACATTTGAAAAGAAATGCATTTGTATTTCTGTATTAAGACTTGATAAACTGGTTGAAATTTTTACATAATGTAACAATATAATTTTAGATTGGTTTTGTATGAAATCTGTTTCATTAACCCTTGTGTGTAATGCTGTGAACTATAAGTGGAGCACTTACTGATGCAACTTATGTTGAAGGAATTTATTATTTTGTTGTGTATATTAATTGAAATTTTGTGCCAAGATTATTTATATTTCCATCCTCCACAAAGCATATTTAACCAGAGATACACGTATGAACGTTCTTTTCCTTAATATATATTTTTTTTAAGTAGTCCACTTAATGTCATTTAATCTAACAAGACCATTTTGTATCGTGCAAACATATTGACTTCTATTAACACTACTATTATAAATACACATTGTGTAGATCAAGGTTGTTCTTTATATAAATCAGAATTTCTTCCATAGGTCTCTTTTGTTATCATTTATTTAGGGTGTATGTATTATATAAGATTGTATGGCAACAAATTCAAGTAGGAGGAAGTGTGTATGCAAGGAAGTTACATTGGCAATAAACCTTTTCAAGGAAATATCGTAGATAGTTAATTCTAGCCAAGGTCTAACATTGGCATAGATAGAAATTCAGAAGCTTTGCCAAATGAACAAAAACCTTTGCATGTAGCGTATGTGGTGCTAATTTTGTCATCTAGAGCCATCAATCTAGAGCTATATTGCTAATTAAGTGGAACGAAAAGTTCTATGTATTTCATGCTGCGAAAAACAGAAAAATAAAATAAAATAAATTATACTGTAAACACGTATGTATCGATATATGTATAATTATACAATAACTTTTCTATTGCAGGTGTTAACAACGTATAAAACCTGTCATAGAGCAAATATATTCAGTGCAAAGTTTCTGCCCAATAGTGGAGATCATCGGATAGTTTCTTGTAGCGGTGACGGCCTTATTGTGTACACAGGTGAATCTCTATTGACCTATGCACGTGCCAATAATAATGTGACCCATAATCAACATTAACGGTTACAGATTTAACGAGAAGAAAAGAAACGTTCTTTAATCGTTTCAAGTGTCACAGTGGCACTACTTACGAGGTAGTAACAATACCCGGTGAACCGCATAATTTTCTAAGCTGCGGAGAGGATGGAACAGTGAGATGGTTTGACCTTAGAATAAAAGAGAAGTGTTACGCGCTAAGATGTAGACAGGTAAACGATAAACGTAGTGTATAGAAATCACCGAACACGACAACAGGAATTATATTTTATATTCTTATAGGATGTACTAATTTCTTGCGAGAGAGCTATAACTGCTTTGTCTGTAAATCTTATTTCGCCCCACCAAATAGCAATCGGTTGTTCCGATGGAACAGTTAGAATATATGACAGAAGAACGCTTGGAACGCCAGCGACGGGTAATTTCAAAGAGAAAAGTAGAAAGGCATGTGAGATAAGTAGAAAACGAGTAATTACAGAATACTTTCTATAGGATTGACAGACTCAACCGGAGTAGTAAATGCCTTATGCACATTCACTGTACCGGAATTTGAAGGGAATTCTCACAGAATGACATCGTTAAGCTATAGTCCCGATGGGCAAGATATCCTTGCCAGTTACAGCAGTGATCATATCTACTTGTTCAACATAAAGGTATTATGAACACACGTTTGTTATATACCATGAAATCTATACATTTCGTTCGGTGATCAAATACATTATTTTCTTTAGAACCAAGGCAGTGTTCATTTAAAGAAAGATATTGGGGTTGGAAAAGGAGAAGGGAAGAAACAAAGATCACGATCACCGTTACCAGTACGGAAATTGAGACTTAGGGGTGATTGGTCTGACACCGGTCCTGATGCGCGGCCTGAACGCGAGGGAGATCGAGGTAGCCGTAGACGTACGTTGCTATTAAATTTAACTAATCACTATCAGCAGTATCTTTCAACAGCACGTTTCTGGATCTTTCTGTTTTCTAGAAATTGCTCAAGCAAGACCAGTGCTTCATACGTATTTAATGCAGAGAATGACGGCTGTTCTCAGTAGAATGTTAAACGATCCAGTCACCAGAGCCGCCTTATGCGGCGGTGGAGAGGACAGCTTAGAGAGTGTGGTCATAAATCAAGTGAATACTCAAAACGGTAACGAAAATCCGGCGGAGAATAACGAGGAAAGGCAAAATACAGTCGAAGGAGGAGAAAGTTCTTCTGCTCAGAGTAACCAAGAAACAGGTAGTTTATATGTGTATACAGTACATTTGAGTCAACCAGGTATGGTGTTAAATACCGAGCAAACACAAAAAATTACAGACATCGGAGAAGCGAGTGCCAGTGGTGCACAGAGCGAACCCGGGACAAGTCAATCCGCGGAATTTGAAGAGGCGACAGCGTTAGCGGAAGCGACGTCGGAAGCTACGGTTGCAGATCAATCCGTCGACGAAACGTCGCCGACTCACTGCAAATCAAATGTTCCTACGGAAACTTCAAATCAAACGTTTTCACGGAAGAAGTATTCTTCGGTACAGCCTTGTTCTTCGCGCGGTTTGAACGAACGGAACAGTGCGCCGGAAGTGGATCAGAGTAGTAGCGATGAGTCTCCGTGTGCCAGTATGGAGAACAAACAGGAAGGTCACATGATGGAGAATCTTCAAGATAGACTGACTAAAATGCGAGACGGCTTCCTAGAAAAGTATGACACAATGACCGAAACATTATGACGACGGATATTGTTTCGTATTGAAAGTATCTTAATATATTTTTCATGTTTCCGCGGGTAGACATGGTAGCGAACCTGCTGTAAGTTTAACGTATACGGATAAAAGCTCGACGAGTGCAACCATATCTTTTGGTGTGGCGAACGAAGTGATCCGCGACAGTTATCACGCAGGTATTTATGTGAATTTGATCATACCGCCGTACTGTATTTTTTCCGAATCTCTTAATGACACGATCGATCCGTAGGACCGTCTGGAAGTAGTGGAACGATTTCGGGCAGAAGTCATGACAAACATTTGCGATATAGTGATATACAAGAAAGTGAGTAGATACGGCGTAGAACGATGTACTTTTACAAAAGAAGATTAGAAATCATTCGTTATCTTTTTGACAGAGACTGATGAAAGCGCTTTTAGTGATAGCGATGACGATGATATAGAGCCTAGGGAAAGGTACGTGTTATAACAGTCGTAATTTTATAACAGGAATATTTATGCGAAATGATAGACGACTCGTATATATCGTTATGTGAGATTATTTATCATTTGTTCAGATTGAAAAGTAGAGTGGAGGAAGAGGAGGAGGAAATGGACGACGAAGGCATCGACGAGGCTCGATCGAGTCAAGAATCGGATGGCTACGATAACTCGTACGGGACAGAGCTGCACGTGAAACAGAAATATATGGGCCATCGTAATGCAAGGTATACTTTCTATTTGCCTCGATCGTGTAACCTTAGTTTGGTGATCCAACAAATTAACGCAATTCACGCGGCGACAAAAGTCTCGATTCCTTGTAAAGGCTGTAAGATCGTAAAGGAGGACATACATAAAATCGCAATCTTGTGACTAAAAGATTAACCAAAAAGTGTTGTTGGGTGAGATAAGCAGAGATGATGTTGTAGGAAGTTAATGGAATTTTCTTCTGTGGGGTGAACCAAACCTGTTCGGCAAGTTCGGCTCCCGGGGAAACGTTTTGTTTCGTAATCACTAAAAAAAAAAGAAAACTCTTCACTCGCTAAATTTTCTCGACGTGAATGTACGTTTTGTGAATGAGAATCGGAAGCCAAGCCATTGACTCGTTATGTTCCGAAAAAGCCTTCGAGCGGACTGGGCCACTTCACACGAGGCCGCCATAATTTATCTGACCGGTTCGCCTTCCCTCGGTTGACTCTAGTTTCTTTAGGACCATGATTAAAGAAGCGAACTTCTGGGGGAACGATTTCGTGATGTCGGGTAGCGATTGCGGCCACGTGTTCGTCTGGGAGAAGGAGACGGCGAGATTGTGCATGCTGCTCGAGGCGGACCACCATGTGGTCAATTGTCTGCAACCCCATCCGTATTTGCCCTTATTGGTCACTGCCGGTATCGACTACGATGTGAAGCTGTGGGCCCCGATAAACGAGGAGTCGAGCTTCGACGAGAAATTTGCTGAAGATGTAAGTCCATTCAAGACGATTCATTGTCAATTGACAATAGATGATGTCGTGTCTATAAAGCTGTATACAATGGTCACGAATGCTTACAGCTGAAAAAACGGAATGCTATCATGTTGGAAGAGACCAAAGACACAATGACCGTACCTGCTGCTTTTATGATCAGAATGCTGACATGTCTCAATCAGATACGCAGAGGTAGTGACAATTTATAATAATACTTCCCCCCAAGACCTCCTGATAGTTGACTACAGTAATAGTATGATCGACGACATACATAGTTAAGAAAACAAAATAGTATACCGAAGAGTTTGGCAGCGATTCACTGTCACGTGCAGGTATTAAAGCACATATAACGGTGTACAGAGTTCTGTCTGGCCCTCCATTTTTTTTTTCTTCACGATGTGAGTTCGCCTAACTTTTTTGTGGTATCATTTGTGTTCATGAGAATTCTTCATCCTGTGTTTCTTACACTTCCTTTTTTTTGTATGATTTTTTTTAAATTGTGTAGAGAAATATTTTTATAGCTTTGTAATAGGTTTATTTGCTCGTCGCGCGGCCCCATAAATCCGAAGATATATATATATGTGTTAAAAAAACAAAAACAAAGAAAATAGAATACCGTCGTTTCTCGTATGTATATCCTGTATAAAATTTTAGAGTTTAAGGGAAAAACAAAGTCTCTGAGAAACGGACGGAGTAAAGTACAAAGTCTTACGTTGTTCGCTTATCATTCCTAAGCCATACAGAGGCTAAGTATTAATAAACATGAAAAAGGTTATATTATTCTTTAGCGATGAAGTAAAATAAAAGTTTTGTAATTTTTTATGGTAAATTGAATAAAAAGAAATTTTCATGTGTATATTAGAAGAGAGGATATCGATGAAGCAGTGTGCATGTAATGTCACATCGGTATTTTACTACTTAAACAAAATTGTTGTAGCGATGAAAATAAAGTTTTTAATGAAAACTCAAAGTAAATATCTTTAATATACCAGGAAATGCGTGCTTTGATGGTACGGACAGGTATTTCACGTTTTTTTTTATATCTATCTATATATATATATATATATATATGTCTTTTTTACCATTAGATTAATTACTAGCTAGCACGTGACAAATCGAACAAGATTGTACGATCACACAGATCCGTTTTCGAGTCTGTTCATTTATCCAGCAAGATCTCATCGTCGAAGTCTTTCACAAACGCAACCGATAACAGCCATTTTTTTTCCCTCTGATTAAACCTGTTTACCAAGTATACGCTCCTGAATGTTGTGTGTTCACATGGCTATAAATGTTCATCAAGTATCACCACGTTTACTTGTTTTTCAATGAATCCATCTAACAGAAAAAAAATCAGAAAACAGATTTCGTCTTGTTTCGAAACAGAGATACCCAGTATCGTTATATTATTAAAAATTAGTGCAAGTGATTAGTCTTCTAAATTAAATTCTAATAATAACACAGACAGCGGGTGGTTAAACAAGCTTTCATCGTTCACCTTCGTATTTTAACCATTATTCATTATCTTAATAACGAGCAAAGTAGCCAACGAATTAACATGAAAACACGCACTGTCTGTCATCATAGTGTGCAGATTATATGTGTGTTTAACAGCAACAATTGTTTTTAAAGACTAACAGCTTGCTCATCGTGCAAAGTGGATATATTTCTTTCGTGGATTATTCAAATCGATCAAAAGGCATACCCCTGGGCGACTAGAATGAGAAAGAAAACTTTGCTATCATTCCATGTCGATTGTATCTGTGTAAAAATGATAACACGTCAGAAGAAACGAAACGTAGCACATTATTCCTCACTTGACTGGTTGACCAAGAATGAAATTGAACACGTGTTGCTTGACAAGCCATCTCCATTTGATGGTAGAGACAAAATGACAAGAAAAAAACGAGAATGAAGTAGCATGCTTGATTAGACTTTCTCTCTCTCTCTCTCTCTCTCTCTCTCTCTCTCTCTCTCTCACTTTCTCACTTTTTATTTCTCTTTCTATCTCCATCTGTGAAAGGAGGATACTACATACTTCCGGTTCTTTTGTAGGACGCGGTCGGAACAGGGGGAGGAGCGGATACGAGTCCACCGAATTGCGAGGTTGCTAAGCGGCTTTCGACGAAACTGCCAGTTTTAAAACGTCACTTGGACAACGATATGTCGTCTCGAGTGCCCAACGCCCAATTAGTTAATAGTTCAGAGAAACCCCCCCCTCACACACACCACACACACACACACACACACATACACATACACATACACATACACATACGACACAGGCACACGAAAAAGAAAGTCGACATCGTATTTATGATTCATCCGTGTAATTCTTGATTAATTGTAAGAATATTTAACCCTGATAAGCTTGCGTATCTCGGTCCATTATCGGCGACAGATAAGCCGCTTCATTTTTTTTTTTGGTATCTTCACGCTTTCTTTTTCGTTCGTTCGATTCTATTTATACACAAATGAATCTCAGCTCTCGAAAAATGTTTTGTTTCGCGGACCTTGGGGGAGGCAAGTTTACCCTTCCGACACTGTTTGTTTTTCGCGTCAAGTATCTTTCTGTCCTTGTGTGTGCACGCGCACGCACACGCGCGACTGACAGCTACGATTTGGTATAAACCGACCACCGAGTGTCTTCTTACTTCTTATTTTTGAGTTTCGCGTTGCGTACGTTTTTTTGTTCTTTTTTGGTAGTCCTAACTTTTTTTTAAAGCGAACACCGTATACCTTAATCCAGAATGCTTTAACTCGTGAGTTTTGTTACCTACCTTTCTGTTGTCCCGCGGTGTTGTTATCGATATTGTTTCTCTGTACCTTTTTAAGTCTCTTTGTACCGTGTTAGTTCCTAACGATAACAACATCGGGGTACAGTGATCTGTCGTTGTATGTTATTTCCCGAGGGGGGAGACTTGTGTTCCTTTGGCCACGTTGTTATAAACACTTTTAGTTACGATTTCGAGCTCGACGCTAGGCATTAGAGTTTGTTAGAGTTGCAATTTACACCACCGTTTGGTCGATCCAATTATTAGTCGATATTCGAATAATCGATCCGAGTAACACGTGACGAGACAATACTGTAATCAACGGGATGAAACAAAGTCTCCAACGGGTTTGTAGTGACCACCGCACGCGACCGCTAATGTTGGACATCACTTACATAAAGTATCGCTCGTAATAATACTCTTGTAACAATAGAGGCCAATTAACAGATAGATAACAGGTAGATAAAGCGTATACGGTTCAACGGTGCATCATAGGCTGTGTTCAGCGAACTCAAGCGTTGAAACAACCGTTGCGAATCTATCAGTGATCAGTTCTTCTATTTTCCTGAACGACATTTGGGGTAGTGTGATACATTTGTAGTAGCTTGTGGCGCTAAATTTAAACAGTTGTTACAAGTTATAACATGCGTGAACAATATTGTCTTCTAATAAAATAATAAAATATTCAAAAAAATGAATGCAGCGTTGCTAATTGCTCTGGACACTGGGTTGGACGTTGATGTAATTAAAATATTATTGGACGATGTAGGGCAACGTATAAATAATTTAATTAAACTATAATAATTTAACATAACTAAACATGTCGAGAAGTTAGCAAGCGAGCGGTATTATTCAACGGTTGCGTAACGGTTGAGTCCGCCGAACGTAGCCTTTGTAAATTCGTTAAAGGTTGCTCCGTAATCAAAATTCACATTATTATCGATATTATTCAAACCGTGAAAAACAACTCAGTTACGTACGGATTTTATCGAGTAATAGTCTGAATTTTTCAGTGTTCAATTTTTCATTAATCGCCTTCTGAAACCATAGGTAAGATAACATTCTGTAAAAGTGGGTTCAATTTTGGTCACAAATTTTATGGGGGGATGAGGGGGGGGGTGTGTCTTTCTGCGACAAGCGATAGTAATCCGATTATGTGCAAGTACAGTTGATCGACTGACAAAAGCCTACGAGGATTCTGATTGCAAATAGCTGAAAGTCGAAGTCAAATAATGTATAGATCCGAAGGTAGGCTAGCAAGGGACGAGCAGATGCGTCATTTGTTAGAAAATGTTGGGAAGTTTTTAATAAGGATCCGATTATAACTAGGAAGAACCAGCGTGTAGTATACATCATGGATGTATCGGTTCAGAGGATTTATTTATAATAAAAACTCCGGGAAATGCAACTTTCTGTTTTTCACTGCTCCCTAGCTCCTTCCAACTGTTGAAGTTCAACGCGATCGAAACATTCGATCGATGTTGACAAAAATCCTTCGCTTTAAAAAGGATTCATTAAACGGATAATTATTTATTTATTTAAGGAATTATTGAAATTCCATACATGCATTTTTATCCATTTAAATGTGGTCATTCTCTTTTGTTAATAATTTCAAAGGAAAAAAAATTGTCCATCAATTGGGAACTATGGGGAATTCGACCCACTTTTCGAGTACATAACATATATTCGAAGAACACTTAGAAGAGAAGGGATGGTTAACGTATCGTGCAAACGGAAATAAAAAGAAAAGTGAGTTTTTTAGTTTAATAACGGAATCTAATTTAATAACAAAATAGTGAACGCAGGTAGTAAAATTAATCGTAATAATAATAATAGCAATTATACTCTGTAATCGCGACAATAATCGTGACACGGTACAACGATGCGACGGGTCGTCATGACATGTACAGACATATTCAGTAATATTCACGTGTTACAGAATCGTTGAACGATCGATCCATGGCTTTGTCGGGCTCTGTCGCGTAAGTCTAAATTGTCTAAATGATCGAAGCGATCGAGGGACAAACAAGATCCCAAGCAAACAAACGAGTATACACGAATAGCAATTGATACCGAAACGTAAGGCGTGCTCCGGACGGAATTTCCGCGATTCGACAACGATAAGCGGGCTCTCGATCATGATGGATCAAAGAGAGAATCACGGATCGTGCACGACGCTACATACAGTTGATCGCAAACGCGTCCGTGTTGGACGCGTTTGTCCGCTTCAACGTAGCGTTTTATAATCCAATTTTAGATAGGAACCACTTAAGACTTTGGTTTACACTTAATGCTCGTTCAAGTATCTATCAGATCTCTTACGTTTAATTGAACACAGCACAAAAATGAATCGTTATTTCGTAAATCATTATAGTTTCGTATGGGAGACATTCGTTAGCCCTTGTACGGAGGTTGCGACGCCATTTTGTACCGAACTTAGCAGTGGCCCTCGTCGTGTATCTACTCTTCATTTTTTGTGAATTGTGAAATGCTCACTCGGAAGAGTTTAGAGTCTAAACTTTAGACCATAGATGAGAAGTATTATTATGTTTATTCGTTGCTTTATTTATTTAAAACGAGCTTGCATTCCTTCATTGGGTAGCATCCACATCGATGAGATTTTAAGGGTTAATACGCCTCCGGGACCAACTATGTTACGAGCCTTTTTCCTTTTGGACGATAAAGAATAAGCGTGAGGATTTGAACAAATTGAAGATTTACGTAAACAATTTTCAAATAAGAAATAAACGATAAGAATGCTTGCTGTTTGGTGTTCAATGGATAATAACAATGATTTTAACAGTGTACGTATATTTAAAATAAATTTCTTTGATAATTTTCGTGGACTTAATCACTTTGGCAAACGAACATTACTCGTATGTAAATCCTAAGAAATGTAAGAGGATTTCTATTGTAGAATAAGAATCACGAAACGAGAATGGCAGACGAAGAACGAGACATACAGATACATATGTCGAGGGTTGCTCACCGGAATTGGAAAACGGAGACGTGTGTGTGTGTATTTCCTTGTTTTATTTCTCTGAACATTAGGACAAAATTGTAATCAATCGCTTATCCGTTTATCGTAAATCCAATAATGTCTGTAATAATGAATTAGCGTTATATTAAATGTACCGATGAGAGATTTCTTTTATCATTTAATAATCACACATTCTCTCTCTCTCTCTCACGCACACACTCTCGCACTCACACACACATACACACACTTACTCTATTGTTTCTTCTTACTCTTTCGAGCATTCTCACGTGCTCTGTCGTTCGTTCTCACACGCATACACACGCTCCTTCTCTCGGGTTCCTTTCCACTCAGTTCGCAAATGTCCACAGCGATGTTGATCGACGTGTCTTATCAGGGGAAATTCCGAGATCAACAGGAAGGTTCGACTTCTTCGTGGATTGCTACCTCCATTGTTTTCGCGTCGTCGATCGTCATCGCTATAGACTATAGACCTCGCGAACGCGACACCCGCTGGAACCGAAAAGTCGGGGGGTCAAAAGACACGATCCCTCGACTCACCACGAATCGAATCTATCATCGATCCATGTAAGTCTCTCGATGGTGTAAAAACACTGACCTGTTATTATCAGAGATTTCTGTTTTTTCGTTTTTAATTAACTCGTCCTCCCTGGTTAATAGATTAGAATCAAGGAACTTCCTTGAATAGAAGCGTGGTACTGAATCGGAAAAGCATTTTAAGATTATGAAACATGACTCGTTATCACCGATCTGGGATAGATATCCTTCTCGATAAGACGCGGGGCTAATTTTAGACGACGTTCACTATATGCGGCCGAAGGCTACCCGGCGATAGGTAAGTACCTGATTTAATTTAAGAGGAGAAAGAGCAAGAGCCGGCGTGACTTTCACGAAAAGGTGTGCACGCTGTCACGCGATTCGGTGATGACGATAAGAGAAAGAGAGGGCATCGGTATCGACGGGTAATCTTATCGAACAAGTTTCGGTGATCCCGGCTCTACTAAAATTGTAACAACCGAGTGGAACTGAAATAACGTCCAAAGTCTCGGAATCAGTTGATTAATCTTGGAGGGAACTACTCGAAGATTGGACATCAGCTGATCTAGACGTAGAAATAAAAGACACGAAAGTGTATATAATCAGGACATTAAGATCACAGATTCGTGAATACGTATTCGGTCGAGAAACTGATAGGGTCAGTGACGCCCTCGAGATGCCATTTTGAAACGTTCTACGGTCCGAAAGAATCCGCCATTTTCACGCGAGGAACACCGTGACGCGACAGAGACGGGAAAATTCGTCATCTGAATCAAACGCGTTACGAGAAAGGCATTCAGCCGTTTTTAATTGATTAAATGTTGGAAGTTCCAATTTTTATAACACAATAATACTTCTTTCTGAAATGAGTAGGCACTTGGCAAACAATCGTTTAATCTCATTAACCGTTTCAAAGTCAGGATGATGATTTTAGATATTGCTGTCTTTGACTATGAAATTACTCGAATAAAATTCTGCCCAACTCTGCACCACGGCGATCGTTTCGAGGTTGAAAATCAACGTTTCTTTTTTGTTCCAAAAGGAGAATTTCATTCCATTCGAGCGGGTGTCCACGAATTCTTCCCGCAGTTCTTTTATTTTTTTCTTCACCCATCCGTCTAGGTATCTATCCCCACTCTGCCGTAATCGCAACTCGCTCAAGAAGTAAAAACACGAATGTCGCGCGCTCGCGCGGGAAAACGCGTGTCGTCGCGCGCGATTCCCCACACACGTGTGTGTGTGTGTGTGTGCGCGCGGATAATACAATCCTCTAATGGCGCGCAGACGGTGGTAATCATAGCGTAACAATATATAACAATGACAATTAATTAATGATGACAGTAATAATAAATGACAATAATATCAATAAGAATAGTTAGTGAAACGTTTACAATCTATTACAATTATTTAGTTTCTCGGAGGGGACGACGTCGCTCAGATTGTTTTACGAGGCACAGGTTGGGTTCGCACGTCCGCTGATCGCAAGTACCGTTCGCCATTTCTAACGGGGACGCGAAAAAACTTTGTATCTGGTTTTCTTTTCTTTCTCTTTTTTTTTTAGTTACTCTGTATTCGTTAAGCTCGAAAGGATTTGTTTGTATCGTTCCCTTACGGGGTGCCCGCGTTTAGCGTTTTCAAACACGCTCTCGACCCCACGACGCACACGTGTTGTTCTCACAGTGAATAAAAGGTGGGGAATTTAAAAAATCATATCGCGGTACGAGTATTATAGATGTGTGTGTGTGTGTGTGTGTGTGTTTGTGTGTAGATCTTTCTTGTATCTCTCTTTTTTCGTCCGTTTTTATCGTTTCGAAGAAGATATGTAAGAGTATCGACGCTCATTAGAACGATTTATGTGTGTGGCCTCTCTTTTTCTCTCTCTAATTTTCGTGTGCGTCGAACGGTCGACAAAACTATCCAACAAACTATCGTCGAACGGTCGACAAAATCGAACGGTCGAGAACCGTGGTGTGTGTGGTGGGTAGCAACGTGCAAAATTAGCTGTACCTCAAGAGATGACTGATATTTAGCGCGCACGGGTGCGCTGGATACAACTAATATTAAAACTATATACGTACAAGTGGGAATTCGTAGAAAGTGACGAAACGATATAAAAAATTACATCGACACGCGAATTCACTTCGAGGATCGCGTGGAGACGAAAGGAGAGGCTCGAGAGCGGTTCTTGAACGCTGATTGTGAGACCGACGATTTATCGTCGGTTTTCTTGGCAAACACTTCCGACTTCGCTGAATTTTCCTCCTCTCCCTTTCTCCACTCGCGTTCGTCTTATTTTGTTC